AAGAAATTCCTCCCTGTGAGGGTGGGGGGGGGCTGGGCTGTTTGTGTGGGAGAGTGGAGGGGGATTGTGTAAGGTTGTGTGGAATGTGTCTCTGTTTGTGTAAACAAACACAAAAAAATCCGTAAGGCACGAAAGACGTGCTTTGTAGAACGTATACTTTTATGTGTACCTACAGAACTTGTGGACAAGTGCATCGGTTCACGTATTCACATCGTGATGAAGAGCGACAAAGAAATTGTTGGGACACTTCTAGGATTTGATGACTTTGTTAGTATCCTTTGATGGACGTTTAAGACTGTCTGCTTTATGCTCTGACCTAAGTAATTTATAGCTCTTGAGAGTTTTGGGTTCACTGAATAGAACCTTTTTATATGGATCAGTTGTATTCTGATATTTTCAATTTTCAGGTAAAATCACATTTTTGCATAAAATGAAAATAGCATTAAATAGCCTAGTTTTAAAATCTGGGCCTTATTTTCCTTGAGACTGGATTTTCAGATATGGTGCTGGAAGATGTTACAGAATTGTAAGTATGTTTTCTGCCTCTTGTTGCTATTTAATGTTTCGTTCACTGAGGCAAAGTACTGTGTGAGGTCTGCTAGAAAAGCGTTTTTTACATTTATGGAATACTTGCCAGCTGGGTATTTTAACATTGGACCTAAAACTATATAAAGTGATCTGTTCAGGACAGCCATGTCATAGAGTAGCTGTTGCATGGTTTATACTTGTATGGGGATCCTATTGCAGTCTTAATTTTGCATGGGTTGTGTGGGAAGCTTTCCAGTAGTTAATTTGTTTTTACACTTCTTTAAGACCTAGGCAAAGATTCAACAAGGCAGCAAACTTAAATATTTTTACTTTGTCATTACATGTTGATATATCATATTCAAGAAACTGTCAAGCTTTAGCAGGTGAACACACGTCTTTGTGTACTGAGCAGAAGAGACCTTTTCAGTTTGCTTTCTGTACCTAGGTGCTCCATTTGTCAAGATCATGCTGCCGTGTAGCTGATTTAGTGTTAGTTTCTGTAATGGTCACCTTAATGCAGGGATTTCTGTCCGTTCTGTCATCAAATCTGGAGCTATTGTCTCTGGTTCTGTGTTCTTACTTACTCTTTCTAACACTCCTTCAGTGAGATCACACCTGAGGGCAGAAGAATCACAAAGCTGGACCAGATTCTGCTCAATGGAAATAACATAACTATGGTGAGTCATCAGAGGCTGCATGTGTTGACTTTCTGTGCCTGTAAATCAATTGGTGATTATATTCAACTCCTTTAAGCTGAGCTTTCCTGACAGTTCTGCAGGAAGTTTCAAGTAGCTTGTCTGCACAGCTGGCCATGAAGCCTGGACTTCCAGTACAGGGGCATTTCTAATTTTGTGGGAAGAGGAAGGCTCAAGTGGAAAGATTTGAGTCTAAGTTGGCTCTGTATGAATGAGACATTGTCTCCCTTATATTGTTTTACCTCTCTTGCACCTCTGCATTGTGTGTTGGAGCAGGTGCCATCCTGTGTTAATTTCTAAGCCTTTTATTTGGTTTGGTTATTGTTCTGCATGTTGAAAGGATAGCATACATTCTGACTCCTTGCGTGGGGTGAAATTCCTACCATCCAGTTAAGCTGGGGATGTGCTGCCCTTGAAGAAGAACCTGGTGAATTTTCAGCAAGACATAGATATGTTTCTGCATTAGATCTCATGTGTCTTTTGGACATGTATCTTCCCATATCAGGAAGTCCATGCTTTAGACTTACTCTTATTTTGATCCCAAAACCAGTGAAGCTCTTTCTCTTTAGAAGTGCTCAGCTGATAAAGATATCCATAAAAGTAGTGGTTAATCCTTTTTTTTTCCCTCTTCTTTTTCATTTTGTATGTCTTTTTCTGTTCTTAAATTCTTTGCTTTCTTCACAAGGAGATGCTGTGCTGATTTATTCCCTGCTGCTTTTTTGGTTTGTGCATCTCTGGCAATAACTGACTTCCTCTGTTGGGAGAGTCTGAAAGCCACTGTGGTCTAGCATGGAGTCTCCATGTCCTAAAATGTTTGTTGTAAAGTAATAGCTGTCCTGTATGGGTTTGTAAAGCTTAACTCTATGGCTCTAATGCAAAAATATCTTACTCGTTTATAGCTGGTTCCTGGAGGAGAAGGACCTGAAGTATGAAGACATGATATTCATATGTACTTTACATATATATATGCAAAATCTAAATAGAGATTTTGGGGTAGAAATGTTAGGGTATGGATCATTCGTTTGCTTTGCTTACGTACTTGGCATTGTACAAAAGACATTTCTTTAAGAAAAGTGCTTGTGGTAATGTTGATTTTGTAAGTTGAAATCATGACTTGTAAAGAGACACTTGAACCTCTTCTGAATAAAAGACTTTTTCTTTGTCGGTTACTGTGTTCTGTTATGTGTGTGCACAAGTTTGATAATTTTATAACTACTTGATGGAGTAGAAAAATGATGGTGGTGTTTTGATTGCCATCAGTCTTCATTTTTTCTACATCTGTTGCATTTGTTTCTGGCCCAAGTCTATATAATACACAGGTCATGAGCCATTGCTGTGCTTTGGCATACATGCAGATTCTGAGCTGGATGTTTTGTTCAAAGTCTGTGTCACTGGAAACCATGTGGCAGAGGTCCGTAGAGTTCTGAAAGCCCTTCAGACTGGGAGCATCTGTTTGATGCTCAGCAGCCTTTGGTTCTGCTGGCCTTGTGGTTCAACTCTTGTGGCAGATATTTTGTTGTCGGATATCCTTCCTTACAGCAGAGGCCCTGCAATGGCATTTGGCAAGTGAGAACAGACAGACCTGACCTGTTTCATGTTCTAGGGCTAAAAATCCTCAAGGTTGGTGTTAAAACTTCTCACTGGTGTCAGTGGTGACTCTGCTTTCACGACTTGTTGCTGCGTGTACTCAAACGGGGAGATGTCTGTGGCTGCTTGCATAGCTTGGAACACTCAGAGTGAACAGGAGTTTTGTGTCTCCATCTGTTCTCCTGTGAAATGAAAGTGTGACAGATATTGCAAGCTACTCTTCTAGGATAATTTCTGTAAGTAATTTCTGTTTTGTTACGACGCTATGCACCCAGTGTAGCTTACGCTTCTGTGGTACACCTCTCAGCTGGCTTCTGTATGTAAATGTCTTTGGAGAGGAATCAGGTGCCTGCTGTCACTGTGGACAAGGTGGGTGCAGCATGGGCTCACGTGGGCAGGATGTGCTTCCCAGAAGAAACTTGATACTGCCTCAGTTTTTGCTTGATTGGCTGTGTTTTGTTCTATTCACTCCAAGAAGGAGTGCTTAGACTTTCCAGAAGATGTTTTAATCCCTGACTCATGTCTGCAGAGGTCCCTCTAAAGATGGTTTGTGCGCTGTTAGTCCTTTCTAAGATGAAACGTTTTTTCACTGGCAGCTGAGAATACAAAGTATTCCAGGTGGGTCTGGTTTTCTGGTTTGCTTTGCATTCATTATTCCTGTAGCCTGTTGTTTGGAAGTGCAGCTAATAAGCCTGTCCAGTCAGTAAGTAGTGGTGGTTTTTATTCTTCCTCCCCTAGAAATCCAAGTGCTTAATTGTACTACACTGTGTTCTTGTGGACACTGATTCTCTCTGGGATACTGTTCAGGGTGCCACCACATGTAGGTAATTTAAAATAATAACCTTAGAATTCAAAAAGATAGAAAACTGAATGAGGCTTTAAGTTTAGGGCAAGATAATTGTCATGTTAAATAACTTCGGGGTTATGGCATGCGCAGTGGTGATTCAGATTTATGTGTTGCTTTCTGTTTTTCTTTAGGATAGCACTGGTTGCAGTGATCTTTAGTTCTACTACCTGGCTGTCTTAGTATGGAGAAAGTTCCCTTCTGCCTTCTATTTTAGTATACTTGCTCATTCTGGTTTGGGTATAATATCCTCACTGAAATTATTACAATGACTCTTGTCAGTCCCAGGTCACTGGTAATTTTTAACACAGTGCTTCCAAAACTTATAATTGTAATTTAGCAGTCGCATCAGTAACATGTTATTTTGCAGGTGTAACAATATTTTGGTCAATTGAACTACAGTCCGACACAATGTAAGCAGAGAACACTAGAATATTTATTCCAGTTTCAATTCCAATTAATCTGACCTTGAGGCAGTTGATAAAAGGAGCCAGCAAATATTTTCAGGAGCTTGCTTTGACATTTTCGAACTACCAAAATGAACAGGAAACAAAATTCAGCTTTGTTTTGACTGGTGCTGCATTAATGCTGGGCCACACTTTTGCTTTTTGCTAAAAGAGAAAATGGATTTGAATTAATAATTTATCAACAGATTCTGCAGCTTGATGTCATTTTCATGAAGATGCTATGGTTGATTAATTAAACTGTTAGGAACAAAATCAGGGATTCAAAAACAATGCCATTTTATTTCAGAGGTTCTTGCTTATATTTGTACAATATATTGCATAATTCTCATTTTTCTGCAAAGCTTAATATATATTTCATGGCTTTTTTCTAAAAACTTTTATAAGCTCACATTCTCTTGAAGCCTTCTAGAAGCTCAAAATAAGCATTACAAATGAAGTATTTGTTGTTTTCACAGGAAAACAGTTACAAGAAAACACAAAAACATACCTGTTTAATCCATTATGAAGAAATATTCAAGCAGATGGAATATTATCTTCATATATCAGTACTTAATACAATTTGTTAATTGTTTTCTTTTTTATATAATGTATTTAATCAAAATTTAAACATATATTTAAATATGGCAAAGTACCGTAGTTTTATTCCAATTAATGGGTTCCAGAGTAACCTTTTTAAATATAATTCAAACCTGTAAACATTAGTCAGTGTTTGGTTTTGTGTGCTTCTTTTAATAGATCCTCATATTTTGTTTTCAGTACTGATTAAAAAGAGTGGCCTTCAGCAGCCATTAAGTGCAAAGTGATTTGGCAATCCTGTTGTCACCTGCATTCCCCTGGCATTCCATTTGGTGAAGAAGTTGATGTGGCAGCAGTCCCTGCACAGGAAGAGGAAAACACAGATTATAAGGATTTATAAATAAGCAGTTAAAATGTTTTTCCATTTTCCATCCAATATACTAGTAAGCACTGTTATATTGTTGTGATTTAGGAATGTGACTCCTCAGTTCAGTGCCCCTCTGAGGCTCTCCCAAACTGTGTGCAGTTTTTGACCATGCCAGAGGCTGATGCATGGTAAGGAACATGATATCTACTCAATACTGTGGTCTCTGGCCCAGAGGTCTATGAGACTACTTTTGAAATTAATCCCATTGTCTGACTCAGGTCTTTCTGGAGTTCCATGTCACCACAGGCCTTGCTTTTCAAGACCCGGGGTGGTGTTTGGGCACAGGGTACATCTCAGCCATCCGGTGGTGGATTCCGCCCCTGCCAGCACATACTGCTTGCCTTCACAGGTTTGTGGGAGTGCAGTCTTAACTAGCCAGGCCTACCCATATTTGTATTTTGAGCACTATTCCCCATACCACAGAGGCTTTACTTGGCCTGCTTGATTGCAGTGCATGTTTCACAGCTAAGGATAATCTGTGAAATAGTGCCCGTGGTTAAGTCCACCCCTCAGTCACGAGCCCGTCTGTATTGTTGCATCTCTTGTCTGATGACCTGAAGCACCATGGGCACAATGAGCCAGAAATAATTCACCTTTATGTTGCCAGTTCAGATCCACCTGAGACACTTTAACCTTGGCAACCCAATCCATGTGTCCATTGTTGTGATGTTCTTCAGCAGCCCAACTCACAGGTGCTTGTGCATCTACATGATGTGCTTTTACAGCCAGCTTTTCTCTCCGAGCAATGATGTCTTGTCAATCTTCAGCAGCCCAGACAGGTTAACCTCTGTTCTACTAATTTATGTTTTTCCCTTGATCCAGCCACCCTTACAGAGCATTTGCTGCTGTTCAGTGGTCAGTGTAGAGGTAGGATGCTGGCCGTTTCTCTTGTTTAGTGATATCTAAAGCCATTGGGATGGCTTTCAGGTCTGCAAATTGACTTGATCCACCTTGTCCTGCAGTAGTTTCTGCAACTTGCCATGTAGTATTCCATATAGCAGCTTCCTATTTTTGATTTATCCCCAAGATATAGCAGGAACCAGTGACAGCGTTTTCCAATGATGAGGGCATGATGAGGGCATCTTCCTGTTTCTGGTAGCTGATTTTATGGTGGGGCCTCCTCAGCACATCGCCTTTTTGTCCTCCGCCTCTGATGATTGTCCAAAATGTTTGGCTTCCTTGATTTCTAAGATCCCTGGGTGATTGGTATTTCCTATTTGAGCTTGCTGGGTGGTCATCACAACTCACTTACTCCATGTAGCATCAGTGCCATGATGTGTGGCAGGGACTTTCCCTCTCAACACCCAGCCCAGCACTGGCAGTCAGGGTGCCAGGAAGAGCTGTGCTTTGGTGCCAATCACTTGCAAAGCACCTCAAAACCCTTCATAAGCTGCCAGGATCTCTTTGTCAGGTAGGGTATAACACGCCTTAGATCTCTTGTATCTCTGAATCTGGAATCTCACTGGTCATCTTGAAGTCTCCCTGGGTACTTCCTGCCAGAGACTCCAGGAAAGACCATTCTCCCTATCTGCAGTGTAGAGCAAATTTTTCACATGTGCTGCTATCCTGACTGGCCCAACGGTTACTGCATGAAGAATCTCCTGTTTAGATCATTCAAAAACCTGTTACTGTTCAAGACCCCGCTTTAAATTATTCCATGTCACATAATATTGATAGGGTTTACAATCTGACTGTAATCTGTAACATGCATCCTCCAGAAACCTGCAGAGGCTAGGAAAACCTGTGCTTGCTTTCTGCTGGTTGGTGGGGACATAGCTCTTTGTTTGTTTACCATGTTCATTGAATCTGATGACATGCCTCTTGCTATTTTACTTCTAAAAGCTGAATTTCTTGGGCAGATCCCTTGAGTTTGCTTTGCTTTATGGCAAAAATGGCCTTTAGGAGGATCTGGATTTTCTTCTCTCCTCTCTTGAAGAACTTCCTTTGCTGTGTTGCCCCATACCATATCACTGATGTACTTCAAGTGTTCTGGAGCCTCACCCTTTTCTAGTGCAGCCTGGATCAGCCCATGGCAAACATGGGCTGCGTTTCCACCCCTAGGGCAACAGTCTGTTAGTCTCCACTCTCCATTGGACTTACACATTGGCCATATAGGACTACTAAGGAGACAGCAAATCTTGCTGACCACTCCCTGGCTCTCCAGCTCTCAAATCATCCCCTGGGTGGGGGTCACGAAGTCCTGGTTGGTGTGATACTGCTGACACTGTGCTGTTGTAGTAGCCACTAGCACCTGTTGTTCTTCAGCCCTCAGCAGTCCCACAGCAAAGGGTCCTCTGAGAGACGAGGCAAGATCATCCTTGAGAG